CTGGTGTGAGTGAAACAATCTACGAGGATGATGGGATGCCAATCACTAACATCTCTCGACGTCTTGGACGATGGGCGGAATTTTTCGAAGGGCAGTTCAACTGGTCTGCTGCTCCGGCAGCATCAACCAGTTTGTCCTGCCCCCCATGGCCGGTAAGGACTGATCCACCAAACGAGGCAGAAGTCTGCAAGGAACTCCAACTCTTGAAGCGCTACAAATCACCGGGCCCAGATGACTTGCCTCCGGCTCTTTTTAAAGATGGTGGTGACTTTCTGGCTAAGGAACTGACGGTGTTGTTTACAAAGGTTTGGGAGCAAGAAAGTGTTCCAACGTCATGGAATGAATCGGTATTCGTCCCTATCTTTAAAAAGGGTTCACGTTGTTCCTGTAACAACTATCGGGGGATAAGTCTACTTCCGATTGCGTCCAAACTATTGACTTCTGTCATTCTTCGTATGTTGTTTAAAACCCGAGAACGATTGACTCGCGAGGAGCAGGCTGGTTTTCGTTCTGGTCGAGGATGCATTGATCACATCTTCACCCTCCGCCAAAAGTTAGAACACCGTCATACTTATCACAGGCCAACAATCGTAGTGTTTCTTGATATCAGGGCTGCCTTCGATTCGTTGGACAGGACTGTTCTCTGGGATTGTCTATTGAAGAAGGGTGTGCCTGAGAAGTTCATTAACATCTTAAAGGCCCTGTATACGAACACCTCAGGCATAGTGAGGGCATACAACCACCTTTCTCCCTTGTTTCATTCGAGCAGTGGGGTTAGGCAGGGTTGCCCGATCTCACCATTCCTCTTCAACTTTGCCATCGATGACATCCTGGAAACAGCTCTGATGGATGTAAGTAATGGCGGTGTGGATATGTTGCCTGGAGAACGACTTCTCGACCTTGAGTATGCGGATGATATTGTCTTACTGTGCAATAATGCCCAAGGCATGCAATCCGCACTTAATCAGTTGGCAATCAATGTCCTCAGGTACGGCATGTGCTTTGCACCCTCCAAGTGCAAAGTACTCCTACAAGACTGACAGGATTCTCATCCTGCACTCACCCTGGATGGTGAGCAGATTGAAGTAGTTGAGAAGTTCGTGTATCTAGGCAGCTATATAAGTGCTGGTGGTGGCGTGAGTGATGAGATTGATTCACGTATAAGGAAAGCCAGAGCGGCTTATGCCAATCTGGGCCATCTTTGGAGCCTTCGTGATGTTAGTCTGGCTGTAAAAGGTCGGATCTACAACGCGTCGGTGAGAGCAGTTTTGCTCTATGCTTGTGAAACCTGGCCTCTCCGAGTTGAGGATGTTAGTCGTCTCTCTGTGTTCGATCATCGTTGTCTCCGAAGGATTGCTGACATACAGTGGCAACACCATGTTAGTAATGCAAAGGTTCGGTATCGTATTTCCGGGCGCAGAGACGATAATTCAATTGGTTTCACCATCTCGAAACATCGACTTCGGTGGCTTAGACATGCCCTACGAATGTCGTCCCAGAGAATTTCTCGTCGTGCATTATTTGTCGACTGTGGGACTGGTTAGAAAAAGCGGAGAGGTGGTCAGTGTATGACATGGTGTCATGGTATGAAAGAAAGTTGCAAAGGGCTAGCTTCTGTTGGTCCTTCCCGGCTCCCTGGTTAGGATCCGAGAGATGGTGCAACACAGTGTCTAGAGACGTTGTCAGATATGGCTCAGAATAAAAGCCAGTGGCGATCCTGCTGTAACCTTCTTTTACTTTCTTCATAAAAAGTGGTTGCAACTTCCCTAACTGAAAGGGTTCTTCTGGTTGTACATTTTAGTCCGCGTTATCTTTTCATCCTTTCTCTTCCTACTTTCATTATTTTGTGTGGCGCATATGTATCTGGTGCCCTTTTGTACCAATATATATGTGTTTAAATAAATAAATAAATAATGATTGAGGTGACGTAATGAAATATCTCCCTAGACCAATAATAATTAAATTTTAAGTAATTTAGGCAACTTCGATCGCGAACCGACATGACTTCATCTGAAAATGGAGCGCAGTGTATATTTTTTGGCACATAAGTAAATAGTTCTGCGACTGGATTAATGCTTACTTAGGTCGGCTATTTCGCGGATTTAGTTTCAATAATAGCTCTTACCGCCTTCGCCTCGTACTAGAATCATTAGTGATGATATCATCATAATTACAATTAATCTCATCAGCGATTCATGTGGATTCTTCACAGTCTCTTAACAACGGATTTTCCGTCCCATCTTTTGGTATCGTGTTTTTGTACGCAGCCCGTCAAAGGAAAGGCGTATACGTTTATAAGTAGTTGTAAACGGTAAATTTTAGTTGTATTGACTTTTGTTCGTGTACATGTTAGATTAATGTATTCACTAACTGCAAATCTGGTAATGTAATGGGGTGTAGTCAGAAAGCAAACATTTAAGATACATCATACCGATAAGGGAACTGACGATTCGTTGCACTTGATGCCGTGAGTATCCAATTCTAGACCACATTGTTTTTTTCAGGCAATGTAAATGAATAGTCAGCGGTTCCAATACTCAATAAACAGAACTGGGTTTTAAGAGTTTGGGAGGTTATATTTTTGATTTCGTGTAATAGCATGTTCGTTATTGCGGTTACTACTGACTGCTTGCTCGACCATTGTATGACGTCTATTATTGTAGTTACCTTTATGGGATCAGTTCCCAATCCCATTCATACCTGAAGATTTTTAATAAATTGCTATAGTTAAGGAAGATTTTTCTATATCAGACTTCACATCCTCCAAACATTTGGGTTTGTAGCAGTACATGATTGTTATAACGATAAAATGATGCACATTTCTAATATATAGAGCAAATTTGTCCTTACGGTATTTTCGATATTTAGCACTTCATGTATATTAACTTCATTCATACCTTGTTTGACCTGGACATCTACTGGTGTAAAACACAGCAGTAAATTGTTTAGCAGAGATGGATAGTGGCTAGCAGTGGAATCCAGGACGCGCGTTTCGTCCTATCCATCTCTGCTTACCATGCTTGTGAATTAAGGTATATCGAGGCAATACGCACAGTATGCACATATGCCAATTAGAGACTGACCAGTTGCAGTCCTAAACACATCGATGGGAAGATCCAAACAAACAATACTAAGTGAAGTAAATTGTTTACATTTGTACTTGTTTGCTTAATTTTAAATTATAGGGATAGAACGAGCTAGTTTTAGTAGTGGTTCGTTTTATGATGTAGATTAAATCATAAAGGCTGGAGTAGTTTGTCGTCCTAAATTATTTTTGAAGAGGTATAAAACTTATTTCAAAATGTCTGTGCAAGTTACCTCATTCACAGTATTCCATCTAGGGATTGGGTAAGAAATGAAAATAACAATACCAACACTAGTGGAAAATTGAAGGATAAAAAAGTATGTAGAGAAAGAAATCGGGGAACAAATAGCATAAGATGATACAATATTCAAAATTTGGACAGTTGTACCATTTTTGCTTTTTTGAACGGTCTTGACGCATACCACCAAGTACTAATTAACGTTATCCAACTGACCTTAAGTACTCTTCATTTATGCATGCTTGATAAAAAGGGATAATAATTTCGTAGAAACATCCCTTGGTCTGATTTTCCTTGGCTTATTTTAATTCTCCGTACTCATAGCGCGCCAACGTTGTCGCTATCTTAAGTTTTGAGCAGTATATTTTACAATTGAGATCTGATGAGTTGTTTGAGCTTCAGGATCTTCGTGGAGGAAGCCGTAATGAGGTAATACAACCCGATAAATGATCTGATATGGTTTAGGGTGGGTAAGTGTAATCTCGTCGGATGTTGTTTTACGACTACTTGTTTGTAAACTCTGCCAGGCGTTTTAGTCAGTCTTTATGTGCTGAGAATGAAGACAAGTAGACGTTCGACGCATAATATGGGTTGGTAGTTACAGGAATCCTTCGCGGGGCAGCTAGGATTATTTTGATTCTCAACAAATTGTGTGCATGGGCTGCAGGATTCTGGGAAGACAAATGGTGTATGAACCTATTTTAGTCACTGATTACCGTGGAACTGCTACTTCTGACATTCTTCTGTTGGTTTGTGGATTAGGTCAAAGGTTCAGGAGATGCTCTAAGAAAACCAACTGTTTTGACCTGAGCGTTCTGGAAATATCCCGTTCATTTTATTTATTTATTTCAACTCATAAACATTGGTACAAGGGGCACCAAATACATATGCGCCTCATAATAAAATTGAGATTGTGAAAGAATAGAGAACGGATGGTAGGTATAATAAAAAAGATCAACAATGAATAGAAATTAGTGTATGACGGTGAAATAATAATAGGAGAAATAGTTCAATTAGGAAGAATACAACCAGAAAAGAATACTTTAGTTCAAGACGTTTCGTCCACGTTTATGAAGAGCGTTAACAATGAACGATTACCACGACTCGCAATGCTGATTAGTGTAGGGGATGATTGGAAGAGAGTTAGGGGCGGCCAAACCAAAACGTGGCATCAGAGCTTGAAGTCGCTAACTTCTAGTCTGAGCCATGTTGGTAGATGCAGACTACCTGGTTGGGGTCCGCGTGACTATCGTAACCAATGGTTGGAGACTCTGGGTGACATGGCTCAGAATCGATCACAATGGCGTAGGTGTATACACTCTTTATCTTCCCTTAAACCTTGAGATTAAAATTGCTTCATAACTTTTTTTCCTTCCTATACTATATCCTTCTATACAACCTTTCTTTATATACTACCACCACTAAATTAATTACTTCTATGAATCCGGTGTTGATCTTGTTGTGCTAACGAGGTATGGCAACTTGGACCGATGCATATATGTGCCTGGTCCTACGTTGTCGCTGACTCACTGACTGATTCGAGTTGCAGCCAAAAGTTGGGCTGACACGACAAGCGATAAACTGGCAAATAGCGTATCAATTATTTGATATGTCGCTTTTAATGATGAATCTGGTCCATATTTTATTTATTGATAACTCTTTACTCATCTACCCTAGCTTTATCTGGAACATTCTGATGGCTGTATTGTGATAACTTCATACATTGTGTGGCATCATGCTCTGCACTTTGGCGTACGAAGCTCTATATCCTTGAATCTTTTCACTAATCACAGTAAAATACCAAGTTCATAACGCGTTGGCGAAAAGAGTTATGCACCGTATTTGTAAAACCTATTTCTTTCACGGTGTAAATGTATGGTTATTCTGTATCAGACTATCGTTTTCTCCGAAAGATTGCTTGCATCTGGTTTTAGCACTTTATGAGTAGTGCTGAGGTCTAGAAACATGTGTTCAAACCAAATGATAGTAATTCACTTAGTGTCACCATTTTAAAATCTCGGCTTTGATGACTCAGAGATGTTTTCAGTATGTCACCGCATCAGCTTCTACACTTTTAAATAATTTTCAATACGTACTGGATGGAAAGGAGAGAAGTGGTCAGTTTATGACATGGAGCTATGGTATCTAAAATAATTGTAAAAACCTTTGTCTATTGGTCCATCATGAATCACCTGATGCGGTTCTCGAGTTCATGAAAATTAGCGGAGATCCTCCCGTACTTTCTATTGCATGTATCAAAGAAATAAGGTGGAACTTCACTGTTAAACAATTTTATTTTCATTGTATTTTTAACGAAACTGTATCTTCCTTGAAAGAATATCATTTATTTACCCATTTAATTATTATACGACCATTACCTCTGATTTACCCGCTAAACTATTATTTCATTTTATGTAGTACATTCTTCTGATTTCTCTTTTGTACTAAACTTTTTCCACTGTAAATAAGTAATACATTTCAACATTTAATATAATTCTGTCCTACTGTTGTTATAGTGGTCACAAATTCTCAGAGGATCCGATTAATAACATTTATGGAGAAGATGTAGCTCCTCATATTACAGGCTTGTCGTTTGGCTGATGAATTAACCATTCGAAATTAATTCAACTTACCGAAATTTAGGCTATCAACAAGTGTACAATGTTATTATATACAATTAGTTAGATACATCACAATTCCCAAAATATCCTAATGTCATTCTTAGTTGTACATACGACTTTAAGATTTTCTCAACCACACTAAAACATTATTGGTATCACTTGAGCAAGAAGTCATCATTCTGTTTCTTTGGTATTTTAGACTGTAGGTGTCGAATTAATATATCGGCATCAGCAGGTGCCTCATGATGAATAGTGTTGTGTAAATAAAACGTAAATATTGTTGCTAATCAAGATCAAGTATTATCAACATCCCATCAAATAATTCACTTGTAAAGGTTGTTTTAATCTTCTAACTATTAATGTCTGACTGGAACTGATCAATCTCACCATATTTGCATCCTGCGTAGATTGCCTTTATACTGCTAATAATCTACTAGCATTTTGTGCAAGGTTGGATAGTGGATAGCAGTGGGATCTAGGACACGTGTTTCGTTGTATTTTGGACTTGTCAGTCAGATGTACCTGCACTTGGCTATTGATGCTCACACGCGAACTAGAACCAAGTACCTTTCGCTCAAAACACCCAACGCATAATCCAATTACCCCGTGTCTATGTGGACCAAGCAACGGGGTAGATAACGCACTACTAATAACCAGTTAGCAAAATACAGATATTTAAACAAAGAATGTTCTTTTCAATAAATTCTGATCAATTTCCACATTTATACATCTAATCTGGAGTTGTGTATCTAAATTAAAGATATAAAAGAATGACCACTTTTATGACATACGCTGTTTAAAGCGATAACGCATGAATTTAGAATCATTAGTAAAATAAAATAGATATGTAAGTACAATAATTTGGAGGGGATTGTTGAATTTTCTCAGAACATTCAGTTCCGATTCAGTGCTTTCCCGCGTTTAATAATGAAATCGAGATCGGAAAAAGAATCACGTAGACTAAATACTTCGATTTATGTATATATAGATTTGACTGCTGTTGTGAAACAAGTTATATTGACTAGAGTTCGAGGCATTCGCATTTCCATATTCGTGAACACCTTTCAGGGTGGCTAAATTGTTGTTGTCAAGACGGAAAATGATTCAATCATAGACCATTTGGTTCAAGTTTGTCATAGTCCTAGAATATATCAATCATTTCCAATAGTCCATCTACTTAGTAGATTTCTGATAAAGTTCGTCAGATTAAAAATCTGTCAAATGGCAGAATCAGTAGCTATTAGAATGTAAAAGCCTCAGTTTAATTGGAAATTTGTTGTCTGTAAGCTTTTTTGATGTGTTTAACAGGACAATTTAAGAAAATTACTAGCCCATATCCACTCATCGGTTTATTTCAAAGCTGCCCATAGGACAGAAAATTGCGTAACAATCTTAGTAATGTGTATTAGGATTGTGGTAATTACGAAGTATAATAAGCAATTGTACTGAATCCCTTACTATTTCTCAAATATGTTGGAGTTGTCTTAGAAAATTTTAACTCATTAATGTTTCTATATGTCTGAGGCAATACTGCTTAGAACCACTGAATACGAAGAGGATCGTTGGAAATGTCAAACACACTTAGTCCAACCGGAGGAATGGACTCCACCGAATCACTGATCTACTGGTTAAGTGCTCGTCTCATGAATGATGATTCTAAATTCAGACGATATTGCTTCAAACGGTGAATTTGTCTTAAACTTAGTCATTCTTTTATAGTATTAATTTAGATGTATAACTATGAAAATTGATCAGAATTTATTGAAAAGTGTATTCTTAATTCATTTACTTGTAGATCGTAATAGGAAAAATCACTGAATAACTTTTCGAGAAGTTCATGAACATCTTAAAGGCCCTATGTACAAACACAGGCAGAATGAGAGCATACAGCTACCTTTCTCCATTGTTTCATCCAAGCAGTGAGGTTAGACAGGGTTGCCCAATCTTACCATTCCTCTTCAGGTAATTGCGGTGTGGATCTGTTGCCTGGAAAAAGACTTCTCGACCTTGAGTATAGGGATGATATTGTCTTACTGTGTGATAATGCCCAAGCCATGCAATCCGCACTTAATCAGTTGGCAATCAGTCTCTATAGGTAAGGTATGTGCTTTGCACCTTCGAAGTGGAAAGTACTTCTACAAGACTGGCAGGATTCTAATCCTATACTCATTCTGGGTGGTGAGGAGATAGGATTAGTCTAAAAGTTCGTGTATAAGGGTAGCTGAGTAAGTGCTAGTGGTAGCATGAGTGATGAGACCAATTCACGTATCGTGAAAGCCAAAGAGGCTAATACCAATCTGGACCATCTTTGGCACCTTCGCGATGTTAGTCTAGTTGTATATAGATAGATATATAGATACTAACCAGATTAAGAATTTTATCTAAATATACTTGTTGCCTTAGTAACTAAATAAAATCTATTTCACTTGATTACGTAACGTCTCCGATATTTAATTTTTTGTAGGTTACGTAACTAAAATATTTTTCGAATTACCAAAATTATTATTTTTATTACGATTTTAAATTAAACATTTTTTTGGGGAGGGAAATCAAATCATATTGACATTCAATGAAATAAAATGTATCTTTTTTTTCTAAAAAAGGACCCGATTTTTTTAATAATAACCTTTTGTTCTAGTTTCCATTCTTGAACAGTAATATGGAGGTCGTCCATCATGTGCAAATGTACCAAATAATTTATTATCATAATATACTCCAAAACTGGATAAAGGTTTGAAAAATTCTATATTTCTAGCAAGTGGTATAATCCCAATAACAAATGAATAACTTGAATGTCCAGGACGAACATTTTTATCGGGATATGCGTTTGGACTAGGATTATATGTCTTTAACCAACACTAAATTTTAGAAAAAAAAGATTATTCAAAACAGAAATGATAATTTGATCAAAATGGGGTTTGTGGAGATTGTAGTAATTTTAATAGTTGAATTCATGAGTCGATGTAAGTTAGACCACTATTAAAAATCTGGAAGCACTAGATTGTCGTTTCATTTTAGTATGGAACTCCTTAGCAGTGTGCGTCCACAATTCCGCATGCTGGATCCGAACCCAGCGAACGATTAACCTCTAAACCACTGAGTCGGCATGCAACGTTGTTAATATTTAACTTCCATCGATCTTTGCATGGCTGCGCAGCCATTCATCCATTGTCTAAGATAGATACCTGTCTCTACCCGATGCGCATTGGATCCTATTGGTCACAGCTTCTCACTAGTGAGCACATGATGACCATGATCAGAATGGGGTTGTGGAGAGTGCAATAATTTTAATAGTCAAATTTATAAGTTGACTCACGAATTCAACCATTAAATTAGTACAATTTCCCAATGAGTAGAAAAATTAAATTTTCTGACATTTCGTAACTCAGTGTAAGCCACTCCTTCAGAAAATAAGTAAATAAAATAAATTAATCCAAGTTTAAATCATACAAAAGTTTCTGTGATCTAAAAATGTTGATTACATTTCTTCCATTCAGGTCCCATTTTTTTCATCTTATTCTTTTTAAGCCTTAATAATGAGGGTTATATCAGTAAATACCATCAAATATAGGTTGTTGAATGTGATATATATATGTTGTGTATGCTACATACGTTAACAGATATAAGTAGTATCTAATACTAATCAGAAGTGGAGTGCCTGGCAGCAAAAAGGTTGAGAATATAAAATTAAAGGTAACAAGTGTAAACAGAGAGCAGACGTCATAATAACAGGAATAAAGGAGTGATGAAGTTTGTAAGAGACAGTTGATGGAGGGTGTGCAAACGAAGTATATTCTATATAGTTTTCATATTTTACCAAGAAACTCTATAACTGTGTATTAGACAATAAGTCGGTTGTCCTCACTTGATTTCTCGTTCACGACACATATATTTTAGAAAAATTAATCCAACTAGTTAAATCAATTAATTAAATTAGGAGACTTGAATTCAGTAAGGTCATTGACCGATAACCGTTGAAAACCTGAAAATACTGGGCAGCTGCTTTAAGCTAGTATGAGACTTTTCAGGAGCGTAGATTCAAGATTCTACCACCTGCATTCAAACTTATGAGCTTCCGTACCTCTCGCACGTGGTTAACTTGTATACCAGTACGCCAAGATTTAATGGTGTACAAGCTTAACAACCTCCGGAGAATTTATACTGATAATCCTGATGGGCTCACCGATGACTAGCTTCGAGAGAAAATCTTCTGAATTCTAATGAAAAGCCGTGGTAAGTGGATTTCAACCAGTCAAGGTGCGAAGAAGGTACTCGCTGAAGACAATAAAATATAATGGCTAAATATCATTGATTGAAGTTAGACCTGTGTACCATTGTATACCGGTTCAGTGTTTTCGCGCGATGCTTAAGTCTCTGAGTTTGATCCCTGCTGGTAGGGTCTTAAATACACACTCCAGAGAAGTTCCATCCTGTTATGAAGCAATCATTTATTGCTTCCAGATTCTCAATGGTTATCTAATTTAGTTCAGTCTGTGATCTCAATAAAATTTAATAATCTGCACAACACCTATGGTTATAATATAGATTCAAGTGATGTAATTATTGAATAGTTATGGCATCAATCGATCAAAAATTACTCTATGACTGGAAATTATTTTACTCATTTTAAAAATCTGTATCGGTACCACTGAGATTTTTAAAAACAAATTGAAGAGACAAATAATTCATTTGTATTCACTTAGTATTGTTTGTTTAAATCCTCCTATTGATGATTAGGACTGCAACTGGTCAAACAAATAATACTAAGTACATTCAAACTTCACCCCCATTGCACAAGCAAGTGGCTATCAGGACTCAGTAGCTGAGTGGATAACGTGATGGCGTTTGAAGCGAAAGGTACTGGGTTCGAGTCCCAGAGCAAACATCAACTCTGAGAAGCAGGTACATCCAGCTGACGAGTCCCAAATAGGATGAAACGCGCGTCAAACTGAATTCCACTGTTAGCCACTCTACATGTTTGCTTATAATTCATTTGTAATCTAAAACACTCAAGGTTCTAGGTTTGATCTCTGGTAGGGTCGTGAGTATGGACTGTTGAAGGTTGGTCGCGGCCCGAATAGCTCAGTGGTAACGTCTCTGACTGTGAAGCTGAGTGACGCGGGATCGAATCCACCAGGGAGCATCAGTTCCCTCTGGATTACAGGTACACCTTGCTGACGAGTGCCAAGTAGCACGAAACCCGGGTCCAGGGTTTCCTGTTGACCACCTCCAACCACCACCTTACTGTTGAATAGTCTCCTACTGTGACGAAACACTTATCTAATGCTTCCTAATTTCAGTAACTCGGTCTGTAGCTCTTCTAAGGCTACTGCCGTTCCTAAGCCCGGGTAAAGGAGCAGGGTTGGGCATGGGATCAGCAACTCTATCCTGTAGAAGAATACATTGCTAAAAAACCGCTAACCAGAATAAACAAATTAAACCATCTAACCTCTGCCCTCCCAGTTGAAGGAAGAATTATGACACCTCAGGATGAAAAGTAAGATCCTTCAGAAGTCACGAGGATGATGCCCCTACTAACGACCAACGTAATAATTGATATAGGTACATGGAATCTTCGGACAATGTAGGAGGGCCAGTCAAATAACTGCGGAAATGAGGACATGCAAATTGGTGGTGCTCGGAAACACTGAAGCTCATTGCACCTAAGCTGAACAGAAAAGGTCAGGTAAGGGATAGATGCTGCTGTACTCCAGTCACGAAGAGAGAAATGCTCCAAACACTCACCGAGTTGATCTGATGCTGTCCAGAGAAGCACAAAATGCACTTATAGGATAGAAATCTCATGAATCCAGGATCATCAAAGCATCATTCAAAACAAAGAAGGAGGGAATCACAATGAATGTTATCCGATGTTATGCACCCACCAATGATAGCAATGACGACAATAAAAGTCAGTTCTACTCGAGGCTGCAATCAATCATAGCTAAGTGCTCAAGAAAAGACCTCAGTGCTAAAGTCGGAGTGGACAACACAGGATACGAAGATATCATGGGACGACATGGACTAGGAGAGAAAAATGAAAATGGGGGGAGATTTGCATATCTATGTGTATTCAACAAATTGGTTATAGGTGGCACAATATTCCCACACAAACGCATACACTAAGCTACATGGATCTCGCCGAACCACACCACAGAGAACCAGATAGACCATATTTGTATCATTAAAAAAATTCAGAAGGACAGTGGACGATGTGGGAACCAGAAGAATATCTGACATAGTTTCAGATCGCCACCTGGTGGTTGCCAAGATGAAAGTGAAGCTAAAGAAACATTGGACAACTGGGGAAGCAGAATTATAAAGGTTCAATACAGTCTTCTTCCGAGATACTCACAAACTCAAACAATTCAAGATAACTCTCAACAACAGGTTGGAAACCTTACAGGATCTTCTGAGAGAAGAAGAAATTACTGTGCAGGACACTTGAGAAGGAATCAAAGAAGCACTAAATTCAACGTCTCAGGAGGTTCTAAGCCGCAAGAAGCATCATCATAAGAGATGGATATCTATCGAAACCCCGAACAAGATTCAAGAAAAGAAGAACAAGAAGACATCAATTAACAATAGCTGAACAAGAACAGAAGAAGTCAAGAGACAGGTTGAATACACTGAAGGAAACAAGCAAGTGAAGAGGAGCATTCGATTCGACGAGCAGAAATACGTGAAGGAGTTAGCAACGACAGCGGAAAAAGCTGCAAGAGAAGGAAATATGAAACAACTATATGACACGATGAAGAAACTGGCAGGGAAATATAGTAAACCAGAGAGACCGGTCAAGGACAAAGAAGGCAAGCCAATCATTGAAGTTCAAGGACAGAGGAACACATGGGTGGAACTCTTGAATAGACCAGATCTACTGAACCCACCAGACATCGGAGCAGCACCTACAGACCTTCCTATATATGTCACTCCACCAACGATCGAATAAATCAGGATGGTCACCAAATAAATCAAGAATGGGAAAGCAGTAATACCTGAAAATACGCCAGCTAAAGCACTGGAGTGAGACATAGCAGCAAATGCAAAGATGTTCCACGTTCTATTCAGGGAGATTCGGGGGAGAGGATAAGTACCGACGGACTGGAAAGAAGGACACCTCATTAAGATACCAAAGAAAGGTGATCTAAGCAAATGTGAGAACTACAGAGAAACCACACTGCTTCCAGTACCGGGAGAAGTTTTCATTAGTGTTGCTGGACCGGATGAAAAACTCAGTAGACGCCCAACTTCGAGATCAACAGGTTGGATTCCGTAAGAATCGGTCGTGCACAGACCAAATCAAGACACTGAGGATCATCGTTGAACAATCAATCGAATGGAACTCGTCACTGTAAATCAGCTTTCTTGATTATGAGAAGGCATTTGACAGTGTGGATTGTAGGACTTTATGAAAACTTCTTCCACACTATTGTGTAGCTGAGAAAATCTTCAACATCATAAGTAATTTATACGACGGACTACAGTGCAAAGTGGTGCATGGAGGACAGCTGACAGACACATTTCAAGTAAGAACCGGATTCAGACAATGCTGCTTACCCTTCACCTTCTCTTTCTTCTTGTGGTTGACTGGACTATGAAAACCTTGACATTTGACAGGAAACATGGTATAAAATGGATAACTTGGATGCAACTAGACGATTTGGACTTCGTAAATGACCTGGCCCTTCAATCCCATACAAATCAACAAGTGCGAATGAAGACAACTAGTCTAGCAGAAGTCTCTGCATCAGTAGGCCACAACATACAAAAGGAGGAAAACAAGATCCTCAAATACAACACGGAAAATACGAGCCCAATTGCACTTGATGATGGAACTCTGGAAGAGGTGGAAATTTTCACGTATCTGGGTAGCATAATTGACGAACAAGGAGGATCCGATTCAAATGTGAAGGCAAGGTTTGGCAAAGTAAGAGCAGCATCTCTACAATGGAAGAGAATATATGGAACTCAAAACAACTGTCAGCTAATTTCAAAGTGAGAATCTTCAATACGAACATCAAGACAGTACTATTGTACGGAGCTAAAACTTGGAGAACTATCACAACCATCATCCAAATGGTACAAGTATTTATAAACTATTGCTTACTTAAGGTACTGAATGTCAGTTGGCCGGATACCATCAGCAGTAGCCTACTATTGGATAGGAAAAACCAGCTTCCATATGAAGAAGAAATTAGGAAAGGACACTGGAAGTGGATAGGACACACATTACGAAAATCATCAAACTGTATAACGAGGCAATCTCTAGCTTGGTATCCTGAAGGGAAGCAGAAAAGAGGAAGGCCAAAGAATACATTACTTTGGGAAATAGAAACAGATATGAAAAGGATGAATAGCAACTGGAAACGACTGTAGAGCCTTGCCTGGAACAGAGTTGGATGGAGAATGCTGGTGTGTGGTTTATGCTCCTCGATGAGGGGTAACAGGCGTAAGTTCTGGCTTCAGTGGGTTTTGAAATAAGATCCTTTTTTGATATGAACTATGCTATTCAATAGTCTTCGCAAACCCCTTACAGTTAGACATAATGTATTAGAGATTTTTTAAAATGAATTCTTCGTTCTTTAATCACTCTCTCTTTCCATCATTCATTACATGAAATATAATTATGAATTATTTACATAAGAAAGACGATAATTCAATCAAGAAAAAAGAAAATAGACTAAAGTTAAATTTACTTCGTTGGCCTATAAAAATGAGCTACTCAAGTTAATATTGAATATTTAGATAAACAATGAATGAAAAGCTACAACAAAACGATTTTATGATACTACTGAAAAACCAGCTTCCAGCTGAAGAGAAAATTATGAAAAGACGTTTGAAGTGGATAGGACATACATTAAGGAAATCACCAATGTGCATTACAAGGCAATCTCTAACTTGGAATCCTGAAGGGAAGCGGAAAAAAGGAAGGCCAAAGAATACATTACTTTGGGAAATAGAAACAGATATGAAAAGGATGAATAGCAACTGGAAACGACTGTAAAGCCTTGCCCAGAACAGAGTTAGATGGAGAATGCTGGTGTGTGGCCTATGCTCCTCGACGAGGGGTAACAGGCGTAAGTTCTGGCTTCAGTGGGTTTTGAAATAAGATCCTTTTTTGATATGAACTATGCTATTCAATAGTCTTCGCAAACCCCTTACAGTTAGACATAATGTATTAGAGATTTTTTAAAATGAATTCTTCGTTCTTTAATCACTCTCTCTTTCCATCATTCATTACATGAAATATAATTATGAATTATTTACATAAGAAAGACGATAATTCAATCAAGAAAAAAGAAAATAGACTAAAGTTAAATTTACTTCGTTGGCCTATAAAAATGAGCTACTCAAGTTAATATTGAATATTTAGATAAACAATGAATGAAAAGCTACAACAAAACGATTTTATGATACTACTGAAAAACCAGCTTCCAGCTGAAGAGAAAATTATGAAAAGACGTTTGAAGTGGATAGGACATACATTAAGGAAATCACCAATGTGCATTACAAGGCAATCTCTAACTTGGAATCCTGAAGGGAAGCGGAAAAAAGGAAGGCCAAAGAATACATTACTTTGGGAAATAGAAACAGATATGAAAAGGATGAATAGCAACTGGAAACGACTGTAAAGCCTTGCCCAGAACAGAGTTAGATGGAGAATGCTGGTGTGTGGCCTATGCTCCTCGACGAGGGGTAACAGGCGTAAGTAATGTAAGTACTGAACTTAGTAGATTTTGAATATTACATCCAAATAATATTCACTAAACAAGACATTTTTTACGCATTTATATATACATATATATCATATATGAAATTAACTTACTTCGAATATTTTATCTATAAATGTATGATGTAATATAAATAATGGATCATTGCTTGCTGTCCCTGTACAACACATACTTCCGTCAACTAATACATGCAGTTTATTATGAAACCATCTTGAATTTGGATCAGCACCTGGTCGACCGCAAAATCCTTCTAATGCAATATTAAATGATCGACATACAGGACTGAGACGTTCACCAGGAACATAATATCTACATAAATATAATATGTATATATAGATATTACATATTTGCGAATTTTAAATCACTGTTGTTTTGTAACAAATGTAAGGTGAACAGTTTTTTCAGGCATCATAAATAATGAACTAATTATTGGACAACCTGTTTAATTAATAATTCAAGACATTGATTATGTATAAAATTGTCCAATTAAATTTTAATTTTATGATCAGAAGGGGATTTGTGAAGATTTAGTATTTTTATAGTTGAAAGCGAGATCGTGGATGTACACTGCTGAGGAGTTCCACAATAGGATAAAATTGTCGTCTAGTGCTTCCAGGTTTTCCTTGGTGATCTAGCTTTAATTTTATTATTCACACGATGTTTAAAGATTTGACCTATTTGTTATTAAAGCTTATTCTTAGATATTGTATAATATAGACCTTCATTTATCAATTGAAAAGTGAATATTATAACCATAAGGTTATAGTTTTACAAAAAGATGGCGGCCTGTTTAAACATCTGGGTTACCTGTTCCTGTCATCTAGATATTTCAACAAGTTATCTAATTTCGTTTATTTTAATACATCATTATGGCTATTAATTGCACAACCTATTCAGGTGCATTTCTGAAAAGTGTAAAACCTTCCGCTGTAAAGATTACAGAAGGCCTAGTCAGAGATATCGTGGTTGCTGACAATATGCAGCGAGAAGAATGTACATTATCCAGATGTAGATTGACTGGGCTGCTAACTTCTAACTGGCGATCACTCAATATTTATCGTCAGGAAGAACGAAGAAGTAAGAAATGGAAACTTGTTGAAGTACTTTGTGCTGAGAATTCTATATTGTACCAAAAATATAATATTGAATAAAGCTAATAATAATAATCAATTTTCAATTCAATGAATGTTTACTTATCTAATTTGTTTCTGATTAATTAAATTGTCAATTCATTAGTCAGTAGGTTAATAGCTTACATTCATTTATAGAAACATTTATGTTTATAATTCTATTGATCATTTTTACAGTTGAAATCATGAGTCAGTTGAAGCTAGACCACCATTGGAAACCTGGAAGCACTGGACGGCGGTTTCGTCCCAGTGTGGGACTATGCAGCAGCGTGCGTTCACAATCCCGCCTCTCGAGATTCGAACCCAGGGCCTATCGGTCTCGTGTGCGAACGCTTAAACTCTAGACCAATGAGCTGGCATCCAGCGGTGTTAATGTCTAACCCCAACTTATCCACGAAGTTTGAGCAACCGTTCACCGATTGTCTTCAGTGAGTTACTATCTCACAACAGACGTGATTTGAACTCCACTGGTCACTGCCTCTCACTAGAACTACAGGAACCACCTCTTGAAGCCAGTCACTGGTGAGCATATGATTATTATCAGAAGGGGGTTCTTTGTGGAGATTTTTAGTAATGTTATGTATTATATATCGATGAATTATGAAGTAAAAATTATTTTCAAAATTCTGAAATTATATCTTCATTCAAACAGTGTTGATTGCATAATAATCAGTTTATTGTAGTTAAACATAATGAAAATTATATATAGAAAAGCAATTGTATATTTCTGTTAAGTTATTACAGAAGATGGATGCGCACTGCTGAGGAGTCCCATAATCGGACGAAACAGCCGTCCAGTGCTTCCAGGTTTTCCATGGTGGTCTAGCTTCAATTGACTCATGATTTCAACCATGAAAATACTAAATTCTCCACAAAACCCCTTCTGATCCATTATAAAAGAATCTATGCATAATGTTATAAACAAGAATTGACTACGCAATGACAGATTCTCTATTTATAAATAATACTAACAATAATGCTTGTGACTTAAGGAAATTTTGAGGCATTCCATACAGGATGCATATATATCAATAAGAGACTGATCAACTATGCAGTCATAAACATCAGTTGGAAGATTCAAATGAACAATAGAAAATGAATTAATAAACTTGAAAGCTGTACAAGTAAATGATTGGTGAAAATCTTTCATGATTTTCCAATAGGTATTTTTATGTTTCAGTTCTGATTTAACAGTATTGAAGAGCTTGGCGCTAAATATTTTAAAGGAGTTTACACTGTTCAAACGTGTTAGACAAAGAAAACACTTGTTTATATGATACTACATTATTTCAAAAGAATTCTTTACATTAGGTAACTTTTATGTGGTATATGTATAAATATAAATATTTATCTACTTACTGTGATAAGCTTAAAACATATTTCAAATCCTCTACATCCGGAAGATTCCCTTTTTTAAATTCCCGTGTAATTGTTAACCTCTTTATAGATTTCTGACAACCAGTACAAAGCATATCTTTTATTGGTTCATAACAGAACTCAGTTAGATTACTAAATGGTGATCCAGATGATATATGTCTTCCGAGATCACTGAGTCTACCTGGTGCACCAATATATCTATTTGTACATATATCACAATATGCTAAACCAATCCAATCCCAATATGGTGTTGCAAAATCTGTTATACCAAATACTTTCATCGCAATTTTTGACATTAATCTCTCCCATAACAGACCATAATAACGATGCCATGTTGGAAAACAAACACCATCATGATTGAAATTTAATATTCCATAATCTTCACAATCTTTAACATTTTTATATAATGTACTACGACTACCATAACGATGTAAATAAGTAATATAATATTGAACAGAAGCATGTTCTAATCTAGGCTTTCTCAATGGATCAACATACCAATTATTCGATTCATCAACTAATAGATAACCAGATGGCCATGTTTGACTTAATACAACTACAGTTTTAAATACATGTAGCTCTTTATTACTTAATGTCCTGATATCACGTCGTATTCTAACTGAACGTTTATTACAATATCGTCCTTTCCATCCAAACCAACATTCATCACATGCTGAACCAAAATAATTACCATAACATTGACAAAAATATGTAAAATAACGTTTTGGCCAATCAATTCTATCATCAATTAAAAATACACTTGGTACTTTTTCTCTTGGTGTCCATATTTGTATACATTTACCATATTTTGGTCCACCGCATACTTCACCATTAATATTACTTATTGGACAACATACTGGTATACGTCTAGTTAAATTGTAACCACATTGTTCTGGGATCATACCATATATGTTAATGAATTGATTGAATAAGATAAATATACAATATAGGAATATTATTGTTTTAATCATTTAGGGATAGTAACAATAATGATAATATAGATCCAACCAAATAATGATGATTTAAATGGTGTAAATTAAATAGGTTTAATAGTTATTGGTTATTAGTTTAGTTTAATTATTTTAAAAAATAGGAAAATTATTGAATTTATTTTTTTTATATTTTTTTAAATTTTTTTTATTTTTTATTTAAAAAAAATCTAAGTTGAGAAAGAACTAGAGTGATGAAAAAAGTCACATCATTATTAGGGTGTTCATGAAAAGACAGTGAGTTAGAGTGCAATTTTAAGTAGATGGAGCAGTAGTAACAATAGTAGTAATAGTATTAATAATAATAGTAGTAGTAATAATAATAGTAATGATAGTATTGATAATAATAGTAATGATAGTAGTAATAATAAAAATAGTAATAATAATAGTAGTAGTAATGGTAGTAGTATTAGTAATAATAATAATAGTAGTAATAGTAGTGGTAGTACTATTAGTAGTATAGTAATAATAACACAAGTAAAAGCCGTTGTAGAAAAATGCACTTTATATATATTAAAAAATGTGTATTATACAATCCTGCACTATCCTATTGATAAAATGAATATAATTAATGATATGCTTATTAAGTAAATGTACTTAATTCGTTATTTATATATTGATGGAATATGCATGAATGAATTGACTAAATGTTATTGAAAGGAATCATCATAATTCTATTATTAGTTAAGGTTTAATATCAATCTTGATGAATATGAAATACAATTTGAAATGTTTATCAGAAGAGGATTTTGTGGAATACCGGCTCAGTGGTCTAATGTTTAAGTGAAACTGATAGGTCTTGAGTTCGAATCATGAGGGGAGGGATCGTGAATGCGCACTGCTAAGGAGTTCCGTAATAGGACGAAACGGTTGTCCAGTGATTACAGGTTTTATCAATGTTATCAATAAACAATGAGTGTATATAAATAATTTCTATAGAAAACATTAGTTGAAACGATATTCGAATAAGAAGCTACCTGATATATATATATATATATATATATATATATATATATATATACCATGACTCGTACTATATTCGTGTTGTAACTATATTAATCGACTCTAAAGTAACCTATTGAAAATGACTGTAAACGAAATAAACGATATTAGCGGTGATCACGAAATAGAAGAAATGGAACATGTCATAATTGAATTATAAGCCTGTAAGAAATGAACATCGTAAACTGTACAAACATTGAGAGAATTGAAATAAGACGATGTACAAAATAATGTTGGTAAAGGAAAAATCAGTTAGATAGTCAAACCAATGTAAAGAGTGGAATATATATGGAATATGAAGCATAAAATCTAAAGAAAAAAAGATCGATGAAAATAACAAGATGATCAAAAAGAAAAATCAAATAAACATATAAAAAATTACAAATACAACGAAAAAAACAGAGTTGAAAAAAGGAAAAAACCAGAACACCCAGAAGAACACTCTTGAGTCTGGCGCCTTAGACCGCTCGGCCACTCCGACGTGCTGCGATCGACTCACCCTTTTCACCATCACATCATACATCAAATAATATACATCATCATACTCATACTCCTCAAACTCATCACACTACTCATTCTCCTCCACTCTCTCAACCTCATTCAACTACTCATTCTCTTACTCCATCTCCTTATAATTCTCCTCCTCATCCTCATCCTCATCCACATCCACATCATCACAAAGACCACCAACAGCAACAAACAAATCACATTCATCACTACACATAAGCAAACTATGTCAAGCATAACACATCAGAACAACACTGAACAAACCATCAACCTCATCAAACTCCGAATCAGTATGCATTCAACGGTGTACAAATCTAACATCAAGTGTGTATGTCCATCATCAGTATTTGAGATATGTAAAAATAAAAACGAGGTGTTCGCATACCACTGAGATAATCCACTCACAACGTTACTCGAATCCACTCGATCTACCAATGCAATAATGACCAAATATCATCACAAACACTCTTACACGAAAAACTTATCGCTTTCTCACCAATCATAAGTGTCGCGTTCATCAGACCGATCAACTGTCAGGATGTGCCAGTCATTACTAGAATCATTGTGAACAACAGTGTTCAGAATGCCCTCTTCTCTATTCTCCTCTCCACTCCACTCCACTCCACTCCACTCCACTCCACTCCTCTGCTCAACCCACCACACATCTCCTCCCACCCTATGTTGGCTCGTCGCACGGAATCTCTTCAGACCAGATTATATTTCATCCACCACATTCGGTGGGTTTCGTTGACATGAGGATGGCGAGTCAGTTGTGGATCACGTCAACTCTCTTGTCTGTATGAGTCGCACCAACTCTCCACTCCCATATTGATCTCATCGATGATTGTGTTGTGCAGTTCGCATTGCTGTGTATTGATTGAGAGGACTCGGAACGTCGGTCGATTATGTGTGCGTTTCGACTGTGAATGTCGGGTGCGTATCTGTGATCGTAATACACACAAGACTGGGTGGGTGTACGTGGTGTGATGTGATTTTGGTTGTTGTGTGCAATGTAGTTAGAAGTAGTTGACAGTGTATTGAGAAGACGAGACATGCGACGAAGTCGGTCAGTGAGATGAGTGATAGTGTGGATGAGTGAAGTGGACAATGATTTGCATCAGGGTTCGGGAGATAATGTGAGAAGTTGTGTGTGAGATTCAGCGATGACGCCATGTTTAGAAGCTTATAGGCATCCCTATACATACATGCAAATATACACGATTGGTTATGTGAGTGTGTGTGGTCGCTGCGATGTTGTGGATTGAGGTGTGACAGTTGTTGACCATGGTGTGTGTTCAGATGAACGTGTCTCGGTGTGTTTTGGTCAGGTGGGTGAACAGAGAGATAGGAGAGCACCGGTTTGTGCTTGTTGGTTGATGTTTGTGGTGTCGACCGGTTTGTTGTTTTATTCAGTGTTGTTCGTTGTTAAAGGTCAGTGTCGGAGGTGGGATTCGAACCCACGCCCACATCGTGGACCAGAACACCCAGAAGAACACTCTTGAGTCTGGCGCCTTAGACCGCTCGGCCACTCCGACGTGCTGCGATCGACTCACCCTTTTCACCATCACATCATACATCAAATAATATACATCATCATACTCATACTCCTCAAACTCATCACACTACTCATTCTCCTCCACTCTCTCAACCTCATTCAACTACTCATTCTCTTACTCCATCTCCTTATAATTCTCCTCCTCCTCCTCATCCACATCCACATCCACATCATCACAAAGACCACCAACAGCAACAAACAAATCACATTCATCACTACACATAAGCAAACTATGTCAAGCATAACACATCAGAACAACACTGAACAAACCATCAACCTCATCAAACTCCGAATCAGTATGCATTCAACGGTGTACAAATCTAACATCAAGTGTGTATGTCCATCATCAGTATTTGAGATATGTAAAAATAAAAACGAGGTGTTCGCATACCACTGAGATAATCCACTCACAACGTTACTCGAATCCACTCGATCTACCAATGCAATAATGACCAACTATCATCACAAACACTCTTACACGAAAAACTTATCGCTTTCTCACCAATCATAAGTGTCGCGTTCATCAGACCGATCAACTGTCAGGATGTGCCAGTCATTACTAGAATCATTGTGAACAACAGTGTTCAGAATGCCCTCTTCTCTATTCTCCTCTCCACTCCACTCCACTCCACTCCACTCCACTCCACTCCACTCCACTCCTCTGCTCAACCCACCACACATCTCCTCCCACCCTATGTTGGCTCGTCGCACGGAATCTCTTCAGACCAGATTATATTTCATCCACCACATTCGGTGGGTTTCGTTGACATGAGGATGGCGAGTCAGTTGTGGATCACGTCAACTCTCTTGTCTGTATGAGTCGCACCAACTCTCCACTCCCATATTGATCTCATCGATGATTGTGTTGTGCAGTTCGCATTGCTGTGTATTGATTGAGAGGACTCGGAACGTCGGTCGATTATGTGTGCGTTTCGACTGTGAATGTCGGGTGCGTATCTGTGATCGTAATACACACAAGACTGGGTGGGTGTACGTGGTGTGATGTGATTTCGGTTGTTGTGTGCAATGTAGTTAGAAGTAGTTGACAGTGTATTGAGAAGACGAGACATGCGACGAAGTCGGTCAGTGAGATGAGTGATAGTGTGGATGAGTGAAGTGGACAATGATTTGCATCAGGGTTCGGGAGATAATGTGAGAAGTTGTGTGTGAGATTCAGCGATGACGCCATGTTTAGAAGCTTATAGGCATCCCTATACATACATGCAAATATACACGATTGGTTATGTGAGTGTGTGTGGTCGCTGCGATGTTGTGGATTGAGGTGTGACAGTTGTTGACCATGGTGTGTGTTCAGATGAACGTGTCTCGGTGTGTTTTGGTCAGGTGGGTGAACAGAGAGATAGGAGAGCACCGGTTTGTGCTTGTTGGTTGATGTTTGTGGTGTCGACCGGTTTGTTGTTTTATTCAGTGTTGTTCGTTGTTAAAAGTCAGTGTCGGAGGTGGGATTCGAACCCACGCCCACATCGTGGACCAGAACACCCAGAAGAACACTCTTGAGTCTGGCGCCTTAGACCGCTCGGCCACTCCGACGTGCTGCGATCGACTCACCCTTTTCACCATCACATCATACATCAAATAATATACATCATCATACTCATACTCCTCAAACTCATCACACTACTCATTCTCCTCCACTCTCTCAACCTCATTCAACTACTCATTCTCTTACTCCATCTCCTTATAATTCTCCTCCTCCTCCTCATCCACATCCACATCCACATCATCACAAAGACCACCAACAGCAACAAACAAATCACATTCATCACTACACATAAGCAAACTATGTCAAGCATAACACATCAGAACAACACTGAACAAACCATCAACCTCATCAAACTCCGAATCAGTATGCATTCAACGGTGTACAAATCTAACATCAAGTGTGTATGTCCATCATCAGTATTTGAGATATGTAAAAATAAAAACGAGGTGTTCGCATACCACTGAGATAATCCACTCACAACGTTACTCGAATCCACTCGATCTACCAATGCAATAATGACCAACTATCATCACAAACACTCTTACACGAAAAACTTATCGCTT